AGTTGTTGTTTACTATTGTCCATCTTTGGAAAATGTAAAGAATAGCATTCAGAACACCAATGTTTTTTTGGGATAGGCGGGTTTCACCACCAGCTCTCACACAGCACAGTGATGCACAGTGGCTAGGTCATCCTGTGTCCCATGGTGGTCATTTTGGGAAAGTGGTGATAAATTTATGACAAACCGTAGGAAAAGGGGCCATTTGGGGCACCCTGTTTTGAAACATCCCGATCTCTACAGTACATGCTGTGCTTTGGCAAGGACGAGAATTGGGGAGGAATCCAAAACTATCAAACAAACGAGATCGAGTTTCGACAAAAACATATTTTCCCGTACCAAACCAAGCGGTTATACAGACAGTGTTTTCCCGCCGTTAGAACGCAGTTTGGATGATGGAACCCTTTTTTTCTGCATGAAGCCAATTCTGAGTTGTGCCCGGATTTACCTTGTGATTGTTGGAAGCGCTTCATGGGAATGGAAGCTTAGACGTTCGGTTTTTCCTCCCAGGATCAGAGGAGAATGGGGAATGGGGAATGGTGACATATGGATACAGGTCTGTTGAAAATGGATAGGCTTTTATTTCTTAGACTTTTTTTGTTTTGGAAACCTCTTGGTGCTCAATTTCTTTGTCCATTTCTATATCCAGTTATCATCCTATAGATCCATATCATATATATCTCATGGGTTTCTCTGAGAATTGTGGTTTTTCGTATCAAGATTGCCATGAATTCGGTATACCGCAATTTCAGACAAACCCAAATTGGACATAGGTGGTTAGGATTTCCATTCCCAATTCATATCCCAAAAAAGCCAGGATTTTTAATGGTTAAATCAACATTAGATCTCCATAGGTCACTAGATTTCGTCCACTCAAATGCATGGATTTTCCAGTGATTTTGTGGTTAGAAACCATTCGATTCATTAGATCCCACATGGATTGAACAGCAATTTCTCAGAGCCAAGGTTCAACGACCTGGTCGCGTGGCGCGTGTGGAAGTTCCCGGACTGGATCATTAGAAAAAAATCAGGGCGTAGAAAGGGAAGGATTAGTTCAGCTAGCTTTCATCATAAATGCGCGTCTCAAAAAACCATAACAATGTCTCAAAGTTGCCTCCTTTGAGGTTTTTTGATTTCTTACCATATCGTCCTAAGATTCACAAAATATCGCACTGCTATATCAAAGCACAAGCTAAGACATTTGGATCTTTTAAGACTTGCAACGTTCACTAAGCAATAAAATGCTTTAACGTGTTATTTGGAAATATATTCTAAACAGAGCTTTGACTATAACAGTTTGGGTTGCTTGTCTGTTTTGGTTGCATGCGTCCATGATGGACCGATTGATTCCTTACGGAGTGCAGCTTGCTTGATTGGCGCGGCTTGTCCTTTCTGTCCTGGTTGCATGCATCCATGGTGAGAAGATTGATTCCTTGCGCGCGCTCCTTGATCATGAGCTTGAGCAACCTAGAAGGTTCTGTTGCTTGGTTGCTTGCTTGCTTTATTGATTAACTGGACACATTAACTGCTTGACAGATCATTTTAGCAGCACATAGGGAACAAGACTTGTAACATCAAACCCTCGACATCTCTCACGAATGCGTTTTGGCATGATGTTCCCACTGGAAGGATTACATTATCATCATTACATCAGGTTTGAGAAGGATGGAAAAGCCCAGGTCTGGCAGGGCAAGGTCTGACAAATTATCCCGGCAAGAGACCCCAAGGGTAAAAGGAGAATGTATTATACTGTTGATGATGATGTTAATGTTGGTGATGATGTTGATGATATGGTGGTGTTGATGATGATTGTGGTGCTGTTGATGATGATGATGATGAGGAGGAGGAGGAGGATGGTGATGATGATAAAGGTGATGATGATGATGATGATGATGATGATGATGTGGTGCGAGCCTGCGCAGTCGACATGCACACGGACATTTCCTAAGAGCCATTTTGTTTGGAAATTGAAAATGAAAATTGCCGAGGTCAATTGCGGGGACATCCTTTTTGTGCGAGCCTGCACAGTCGAAATGCATGGACATGTCACAAGAACCTTTTTGTGTCGAAATTTAAAGGGAATTGGTCGGACGCTTATCCCGGGGCCAGCGTTTTGTGGGAGCTTGCGCAGTCGAGATGCACATGGACATGTCACAAGAGCCATTTTGCGTTGAAATTTACACGGAAAATGGCCGAGGGCACCTCCGCGGCCAGCGTCTTGTGCGAGCTTGCGCAGTCGAGATGCACATGGACATGTCACAAGAGCCATTTTGTGTTGAAATTTACAGGGAATTGGCCGGACACGGATGAGACCTCCTCGACTAAAAACCCGGACTTAACACCTACCGTAAGGACCCCTCATGCGTTGCAGTGAAATGTGGCCAAGGTCTGGGCCAAAGATGTCATGCGTTGTGATAAAGTGACAATGTTGGGGCAGGCTGCATTTGAGTGGCCAATGTCAGTGATGATGGCAAGGCATGTGCTGAGCTTGAGTGGCCAATGTCTGGGCCAAACGGTCAGCTGTTCTTGTTTGTGAAATTTTTGTTCACACCACAGCCGGGGCCTCGGGGTGAGGCAGTGAGGGTTAACTTCATGGGTAACCCCTCTCATCTTGAACGAACAAAAGAAACCAGAGAGCAAAAGAAACCAGAGAGAGTCCTGGAGGGAAACACCAGCCATGAGTCTGACAAATAAAAATGCTGATGTTGATGATCACACTGTCAAGTGAGCTGGCATTCGTTTATGCTATCATTGATTGGCATGGAAAACCTGCATGTTGTATATTGTTGCAGTTGCAAAATCTCAGCCCAGCGATGTCTGGAAAGCCCCTCCTCCCGGCTCATTTCTCGTCGCTTCAGCAGCACTCAGGACAAGTAGGTGTAAAACCCTCAATCCAAGTTCAGTGTCTTAGAGTCTTGACTTGCGGTATATATTTAGCTGAAACGCCTAGGATAGCAACATCTGAAAATTGATGCATGTTAACCGTGTCTTTGCAACTCTTGTTTTCTTCTAGCTTGACTTGATTGACTTCACCAGCTGGCGGCGGGACCAGCCCTCACTCGCCGACATTATGTGCCACCATCACTTCAAAACCTCAGATCATATCAGAGACAAGGGCGTGCAATCAACGAAGATGTAAGGCTCCCGCAATAATAGCGTTCAAAATCATGCGGCAGCATTTGAATCAATCTGAAATGTCAGCGCGGCGAATGAACAATGAATGCTGGGCAAACACTGATGAAGGGTCAAAGACTGACTGAAATCTTGCACGCCTTTTTCAAAACCGATTTCAGGAGTTGAAGGACCTTTGTTTCCTTCCAAGTTTGTAATATCAGGTTTTGAGAAGAGTGTACAAAATTTCAACGTATCCGTACAAAGAAGCTCATGCTGTGCCTGCGCACACATCTTTCATTTCAATTTGAAACGGTTGCAGAAATGACCCATTAGCCAAACCAGACCATTCATTGAACTGTAATGATTTTCCATTCCAAGTCACAGTTGTCAAAGATGTCAAAGCGACACAGCAACTGAATAATGACGCCCAACAATTTTCAACATCCTGGCGTCACAGACGCCATGAGAAAATCAATTGCAAATCCAATGCATCTGACAGCTGACAGGCCAGTGGCAGTGTCGTTTCTGCAGTGGTAGAAAATCACCAAGGTGCAAGCGGAGGTGTAGGAACTGAATAAGAACTGAGCCACTCCAGATCCAGGCGGACAGCAGTTGCATACAGTGACAGCTCAGCACGGTCCACAAAAATGACCAAGGAGGCCCGGGCAAGGTATAGCTGGTCCACTGGTTCCAAGAACACAAAGATTTGGACGGTAAAGTTGAAAATTTGGAACAAAACGGTTGGACCAGTTGCAACGTGTTGAGCTTCACAAAGTCTGGCCAACGAGCACCACATTGCAACAAAGGAACGCAGGCGGCCCACCAAACCACCACTTGACTTAGCCAAATCTCGCAGGTATGAAATAGGTTGTGGTAACAACGCAGATGAATGGAATGACAAACAACCCTCAAAAAGTTTTCAACACGTTGGGAAGAACACAACTACCTTCAGTCATGCACGGATGACAAGCAAGTAGGAGAAAAAGGCGATCGGGTAAACCAACTTCACGGAATACTGTGTCATAGGGCCTGTTTCTCAAGCTAAATAGTAAGTAACCATGTCTGCTGCGCAGAAAAAGCAATAGCTCCAAATGCCAAAGGGGCAAGCAAGCATTGAAACACCTTCGAACTTCGAACGGATAACTATCCAGCCTATAGCTCTTCGCATGGGAATGCCACGAACATTTTTGTGAGTTGTGACTACTGCAATCCCTTCATGAGATGCCACGACGCCATGGTCACCAACCAACTTGGACATGCTGAGCTTCAGGCACACTGCATTTGCAGGACACTGCGGTTCAAGCCTCAGGCAGGCCAGGAACCAGATCAAGGTTTAGCCACAAGACTTCAACTCGAGTCACAACTTCTTACGCAAGTCAAAGTGCACAGCCTTTCCAGTTTTGGCGCGCAAATAACAGTCAGACATACACTGACATTGACATGAGAACCGCTACATGGAACTGCTTATTCATTCCTGCGGAACTGCTTATTCATTCCTGCACTCGTGCGGTTCAAGCCTCAGGCAGGCCAGGAACCAGATCAAGGTTTAGCCACAAGACTTCAACTCGAGTCACAACTTCTTACGCAAGTCAAAGTGCACAGCCTTTCCAGTTTTGGCGCGCAAATAACAGTCAGACATACACTGACATTGACATGAGAACCGCTACATGGAACTGCTTATTCATTCCTGCGGAACTGCTTATTCATTCCTGCACTCGTGCATACTGGATGGTTGAATTAAAAAAACATCAGCAATGGGCAAAGTTTCTGTTGCAACACCCGTCTGTCAATGCCACTCCAAGCCGGCCAATGGCTGATTGTCACTCGCGCTACTTTCTAGGATTCAACCTCACAACACCCACACAAACAGCAGTACAAATCCTGCCAGGTCAGTCTGAGTGAGAAGCAGTCAAAGTGCAGCCAACCGAGCCTAGATGAGAACACATGTTTCGACACGAACACAATATCTTTATTTGGCCGGCGAAGCATTGCCAAAGTTGGGAATAACACACTGCCCACTGGTTGATGTAGCCTCTTGCATGCACTGGAGCGGCAGCCTGAGCAGGCTCTGCAGGCACTGGAGCAACTGGCGGAACAAGAGCTGCTAGAGGTGTGTCGTCCGGAATGTCATTTGGAGGAGGAAGTGGCGGAGGTGCCTCGTCATCACCCCCCACAGCTGCATCACCAGCTTCCGCTGCTTCATCCACTGGCTCTGCCTCATGAGGGGCTGCCTCTGCCTCATGAACTGCTCCTCCCATCGCTTCTTCATCAGAATCTGTGATGGCTTCATTTTCGGGAGGGTGATGCGGAGCTGCAACCTGAAGCAATTTTTTCAAGAGCTTGCGAGGAACCCGCCTCGCTGCTTTTGCCTTTGCTTTCACTTTTGGCTGCGCTCTTCTCCGGGCACTGGCTTTGGATTTCGGTTTTGCCTTCTTCTTCTTCTTCGTCGCTTCCTTCCACTTTTGTTCCACAAAGGACCAGCCTATTTTTTTGTTGCAATCAACTTCCTTTGCGATTTCCTTGAAATCACTTTGGTCTTCGCCCGGAAGCTCTGAGAGCACAAATTCATCCAAAGCACCACCAACCTTTTTCGGAATGTCTGGGAGTTCCATGGCAGCTTTCACCTTGGTAATGTACTCGTTGTCATCTTTTCCAACAAAATCAATTATTGCGTGAATCAAATCCTTCCGAAGCCTTTTGTCGTCATTTCCGAAGCCAGGAAGTCCAAGAAACGCACCCAGATATTTGAGGTCGGCCACCAGCAAGTTTTTGTGCAGCGATTTATCGCGAAGATAGAACTTCAGCAAAGGCTCTGTCTGCAACGGGTCAGGAACCATGAAGATCTGATTGTTGAAGGCAACTGCCTTTGGAAGGAGCACTCTCCACTCCACGGGATTTGTCAGATACATCCAGTGGGCCTCGCCATCTGGGTCCAAATAATAACCACGGAAACCACTGTCATGCTCAAACAGAAGGACTGGCCAGAATAGCGCGGCGAATGTTGCATTTCCAAGGCAAAATCCCAAGTACAATTGGTTCCCATCGGAGTCAACTTGCTGCAAAAAGTGCTGTTCAACAGCTAATTTTGACAGCTGTCCCTGGGATAGGTTGATGCCTTTTTCAACCATTCTCTCAGAGCAGTAGCTTTGCAAAAAGGACCACGCAGCGAAGCCTTTGTGTAAAACCTCTTCTGACACAGTGGACCAATTCTTCGGCCCCATGATGGTGCTCCACTCTTGTGGCAGCTCATGCACCCTTGCGAAATATCTCCTCCCAGGGCATCTGCTGGATTCTGGGAAGGTACCAACAAGACAGTAAGTCAACAAAAAAATATCATGTATATAGTATTACATTTCATAGTCAAAGAACGAATCTTGATTGATATATGGGAAACAGTGAAGAGCAACACGGACTTAGTCTTAGACTAAGTTCTTCAAACTAGAACAGTGTCATTGGCATTATTTCGTGCTGTATAATGCAAGTGTGGTGAAAAGCGCAGACTTTCTGAGCTTGCTGGTGGCTCAAGTAGGGACACAACCTCTGCCAGCAAAACTGCATGTAAACAATTGATGAACCGAACTTGCTTGCCTCTTCCGCTTCTTGTCCCTTGTACGGGGAAACTCGGCCACAAAAACGTCCCGGTCAACTTCTGGGAAGTGGGCAATGTCGCGATTGGAGAGCTGCTTGCAATTTGTCACAAGTTCTTGCATATGGTGAACCGTTTGTCGACGCGTCTTCTGCGAGGCTGCATCATTGCGAAGAACACCATGAACATCTTCGATTAGCTTCGAATCAGGAAATGTATTGAGAAGGCCCATCAGCAAATGTCTTCCAGAGATGCCGGCCAACCTGTACTGATACTCCTCGAAGGACAAGTACATGAGACGAACTGCTGGTGTGATGACAACACGCAGGGCTTCGAACAAGGGTACAGGCTTTGTCTGAGCTGCAGCAAGTTTCTCCAGTTGCAGAAAGGTCTGGTGATGTCGTGTCATCAGTTCTAACGCAGCCTGTCACACTGCCAGGGATGCAAGACTGCATGAACCTAAGGACCTATATGCACTGCACCCTCGAGCGATTAATTAGCAAACACTTGCTTGGGATTCTCTAGGTAAAAATAAGTTGGACAATATACACAGCTATCATCTCGATTGCTTCAAAAAGAGAAACATTCATTGGACACCAAGCCTGTGCATTCCCAGGTGGCCCTTCACACAGCAACTCTGCATAGCAATCAGGAGGGGCGGAAGCCCTGCTCATAGACCAAACCCGCCTTTGAAGCAGATGGCCACAAAGATCAAAGACTTTGGTTGGCGTATCGTCTCTGAATTCAGCAAACTCTTCCCTGTCAAGCAACGCTACAAGTTCAGGACACTTTGATGTCGGCACACCAGCTGTCTCCCTCAAGTGCTTTTCTCTTTGCCAAGCACAAGCAAGATGTGCCAAATTCTGCAAATGATCCTGAGGATTTTTCATATCACGCACGGATGCCGCGTACCAGGACCAGGTTGGACGGGTACACAGCGCAATGATGTGAATCATTTGGAGGAGCCTGTTTGACATCAAATGATACGCCAGCTTGAGACCGCCTCCGAGAGACTCTTTCAATTGCGAAAATTGCTTTCTCATATTCACTCTTTCATCCGGGCTCTCTTGCATGCGCGCCAACTCATCCAATTCTCGTTTCTGCTGAGCAACGTCGGGATCCACGCACTTGCTGTCACGGCTGAAATGATAGCTCAATGCCAGCTTCAGCACATTCCAGGACGAACATTGCTCTTCGTAGCTTTGGTTCCAGCTGAACCATCTGCTGAGTTTGGGGAGGGTGCCCTTCTTTGAGAAGATTGGTAAGCTCGGCAGTCTTTGCCACACTTCGGCAGAAGAGCATGTCTTTGGCATGTTGAGGTCGTCCCGGATGGTTTCCCACACATCTTGAAACATCTGGAAGGTATCCGGCTCTTCTCTGCCCATCATCAATTCCAATAGTCTTCGTTTGTCTTCTGCAAACCCACCGCTGTTGAAGGGGCGGTAGCTTAGGGCAAAGAGGTATTGCGAATGCATCTGGCTTTGGAGGAAAGTTCCTCCTGCTGCATGGAGGAGCGAGAGTTTCACGTCTCGAATCGACCTGTGGTAGATGTCCCACCTCACTTGGATCAATCCTCCAATTTGTCCAATGGCATACCTCACAAAGCTTAAGTAGGAGGCCACAAATTAAAACGGAAGCAGACTCTAAAAATCATTCATTCAAAACCAAGTGGCTACTCAAAGGCATTCAGAACAAAAACCACCATCGAAATTAAAAACCACCCATGCAGCTTCTCAATCGCAGTTCATTTTTGAACTCACTCTGAAAATCACAAAGCTAAGATGCGCAGCTGCAGCGCAGCATGTTGGCCCCTGATCCATCTGCAGCACTAGAAGTGGAATTGACCTCCACCAGTCTCGAGATTCTGGCAAAAGAAAGGCATCTTCACCAGTTTCGCTGTTGTGGTAATAAGCTCTGGATCTATCACCATCTTGCTGCACGAACCTGGTCTCATGTTTGCCACAGGGAGCAAGATGCAACCCAGTGGGAACCTTGAAGGAGTCAAGGGATGCAAAGCGGCCGTTGGTCAAGAGGTTGACCTGATGACTGATCGCTTGAAGATGGCGATACGAAGCTATTCTTTGGATCTTGTTGTCCTGCAAGTCACAATGAAGCAAACATTTCCGAAGAAGTGAATGCTATGAGCTAAACAAACAGGAGAATCAACAATGTTTGTGTCATGCATAGTTTTTGACTCAACTGAGGGCTTGGTCTTTTGCTTTTACTTTCGTAGCGATTCAGATTTTTTTGGGGGGTTCAACGTCGCCTGCAGTCACCAGTGCGTTATTGTTGCGCACCCTGGCCTGCGCAAGTGACTCAATCAAATCTGTGAGATCCATCTCAGACGGTGCCAATTTCTCTAAGGGCAAAATAACTTGCACATTGCAAGCAGCTGCAGTCTTGTTCTCCCAAGACCATGCCATTGTGACAAGCACCTCTTTGCCTGAATGTCTCGAGGCGTCGCAGACCAGGTTCAGATGGCTGCAGCCTGCCAGGCTGTAAATTACCCTGGCATCGTAAATCCACTGAAGCCTCCTCATCCAAGAGTCAATGACATTTGGATGGCATCCGGCCACTGCTGACAATCTCTCCGAACTTCTCAAAAACTTCAAGGCTTCCCTCCCTGAAAGACCCGAATCCCTTGCCGCTTGAACAACCTCGAAGATGGTATCAGGAGGCATAGATACCTTGGTGGATTGACCCGATTTGCGCCGCTTGCTCGATGGCAGCACTGCACCGTGATCATGTTCAGCCATGTAGCGCTCTGTGACATATTTGTCAAGTTGATCTGACAAAAACCTCACTATCCCGTGTTGCAGCTGAGATAAACAAGTCCCCGAAGGGTTGCCAGGTGGCCAGATATGTTTGCCCGCAGCCCGTCTGTGACGTTGTACCTGGAACGCAAATAGTACCAAGTCGATCAAAGGCACAGAATCCTGATCATCGAAGCAATGAGCCAGCTCACCAGCGTCCACCATTGACTGCCATTCTGCCTTGAAGACATTCAACACTGTTGCATGTGTCATTGCAAGGGACCTCCTCAATCGTGTCACCATCCCACTTGCACTCACCGTGAGAGGAATCATGTTCTCCATTTCAATGTCCGCATTGTGCTCGCAGCATAAAACTGCCCGATTGCAGAGTTTGGGCAGCCAACCTTTGGTGTAAGAAATCAAAGACTGCTTTCGTGAGTCTCGCAGCATATAGCCTAGGAAGGCTACTATCGCTGAGGAAGTTGCAACAGTTTCGTGCAGCTCATCTGCAGCCTGCTGAGTTCGTCTTGTATGGATCCAGTCATCTTGGTTCTCACTTGTCCACTTCGACTGCTTCACACCATGAACGAAGAACTGCACCCACTTGAAAAACACACGAGTTTCACCTTTGCTTCGCAATTTGTCATGCAATGGCGCCAAACTCCACCACAGCGTCGAGTTGTTCACAATGTAACCTCCAACGGAAAGGAGATCACTATCTTCAGCAAAGGAAGCTTGCTTGCACTGCGCGTGCAAAAGTCGCATGAATCGTCAATTGGGCCATGTGACACAAATAAAGCAGGTCCATCACTGTCTCTGTCAATCATGCCCAAAAAAACACATGTAACATCTTTAGGACTTTAGGATGATCCCTTGTGCCTTCCCTGCCATGTCTGCATCCTGGGAATCCTGGGTAGTTAGTAATAATCAACCAGGCATCCCTCACATGGAAGCCACAGCAGCTATGCCAGCTATGCATCCCAAGCGTTCAATGCAAACACGGCAATTCCACGACACATGTGAATCAATGTCCACAAACACATCCAGCACTTCAAGCGTGACAAATCACAACTGCAAGGACGCAACAAACCTGACAAGCTCGTCTATTTCGTTTCTTCCAGCATATGTCATGTTCGTCTATATCAAGCTCCAAGCATGACATCTTGCAAAGCTGACTCACCGAAAATCATGTGCCATTTGGGATTTTTTGAACAGCGCAGCAAAGCCAGGTATCATCACATGTCCGACACTCCCAGAGTCCCAGCGTCACTGCTGTGGAATGCAACAGCAGTTACTGGTCAACATTTACTCGGCGTCTCTTGCAAACAGACCATGAAAAGCTACATGGCTTACACTCAGCTTGCGCGCCCTCTCTGCTATCAGGGAGGGCAATGAAATCAGCCCGCAACTTCTGAGCAGCAAACTTGATGAGCGACATGAAGCGCTCCATGGCTTGCGTGGATGCCATCCGACCACGCAAACCTCACAAGTGAAACAAACCACTCCAAACCAACGCTGGCCGGAAAGCATCGGGTATCAGAAAGAAAATATACATACAGAATCTAAAACTAGTCAAGAAGCAATTGAGCGAAGTGTGTACAACCTCAAGCTGATGAACTGCTTTCATCGTGAAGGATTTGTGCATCTTCAGCTGCAACAAAGCTGCAAACTCCCAAGGCAACGGCGCACCCTTAAGGTCCACATTCATCTCGGTCCAATCATTCGTGTCAAAGAACTTCTGGTTGATCTTAGCGTAGAAAGCCTTGATGGCTGTGGCAGGCTCGAAGGCAAACTCGTATCCACTACTGAGGATATAGTCCAGATCTCCTGCACATTGCTGAAGCACTTGCTGAAAGTGGTAAAGAAACGGCGCATATACACAGACGTTGTCGGTGCTGTCCATGCTGAAAAAGACCTCTGCAATGAAGCTGTCCAGTGTCTCATAGGCTGTAGTAAAGTGGTGAAATGTGCGTAGAGTCACATGAACTGCATCACTTACATTCTGGTGCTGCTGCAGCTCATCCAGCAAACATTTCATGATGGCCTGAATTGCCCTCAGACGCCACTGTTCCCACGACATGGACTGACTCTTTTTCAAAGCAGCCTGCTGCATGTCTGCTGCAACACTACAATCAGCAGCAACTGAGGCCATGAGGCAGTGAAGGATGGTCAGACACAAGTTGAACCAATACTCGCTTCCACAAGCGACCAATGAAACAAATCTCGTTTGACATGCTGAATTCACTGTAGCCAATGCTTGCTTGACAAGTGCACCCACAAGTTCGTTTTTCTAAAGGCATGCGCTAGCATTTGTATTTACTTTTAACTAAAGCACTCAACATGCACAAGCCAATTGATCTTTTGCTCTTCAAGCGTCTGAGACAAGTTTTAATCACCTGCTGCCTACCTAATTAAAACCACAAGTTTGTGCACTTCACAAACTAATGAATTGCCTGTGCAGCTTGCCACGATTGAATCACATGGCGCCCAAACTGTATGCTGTACTGTTGGGATTCCACAAGCAGCTCTTTCACACCTGTGAATGATCCGTCCTCCCCTCGCTCAGCCAACTGGAATTCCGACTTGCGAACATACGGCTTGTTGCGTTGCATCAGGGTCATCCAAGGCTGCCTGGACCATAGCTGCAGAGGTTTCAAAGTGGGACCTCCAAAACAAAAGTGGTAGGTCACGTTCTTCTGAGATCCTATAAATTGCAGAACTGCAGCCAGGGAGCCTGATTCAGGCGCCACAGAATTCAACGGTTGTTCCAAACCGTCATGAAGGTCAAGCAACACTGCTAGCAGCAGAAGCAGTGCTGACAGATCAGCCAAGACATTGCCTTCCAGCACAAACCTTGCAGACTCATTGCCCAGCCAACTGTTGTCAATGCTTCGCAAGCTAACAGATCTGCAAAGAATCACAAAACTGGAGCAAGGAAGCCCTAGCCAGCAAAGTGCTCCTGGTTTTGCCGACGCCATTGCAAGAAGCCACAGGCGAAGCCCTGCTGCTTGAAGCACGTCATGGTCGCTGTTCAGCAAGTAGTCCAGAGCAACGCCAACATACCCCTTCTCAATTGCAGCACGAGAAAGATTGGCAGTGCCGCAGAAATACTCAATGAATTGGAGACGTGCAACTCCACGTTCTCTATTGCTCCATGTGCGAACGCAAAGAGCTGTCAGCATATCTTTCAAACACCAGCCTTGCATCCATGGAAATGCAGTACACAGGTACTTCGGCCACAGCATCTGCGCTCGTCCACCACTGCAGTGATCATCATACTGACAAAAACGGTCAATCTTGGCATGTAGTTCAGCAATGGCACCCATGTCCTGGCACTGCAGCGCCCCATGCTCATCCACAGGAAACGGCTCGCAGTCGGCCAAACTATGTGCAGTGACATATGCGCTGCAAGCTTTCAGTTGCTGTGTGACTTGTTGCTCCCGCTGCAGCAAGGCATTCATACGGCTTGCGACGCTGCTGGCATCCGCCTCCATTGCACTCACATGTGTTAGCTATTGTCTCAAACTTGGTATGTTTGAGCTCTTTTGTGCTTTTTTCTTCCTAATGAGATCAAATGAGATAAAATTGAGATAAAATGAGATAAAATGAGATAAAATGAGATAAAATGAGATAAAATGAGATAATCCGATCGGCCTCAAATGAGATAAAATGAGATAACAATTGTCTCAAATGAGATAAAATGAGATAATCCGATCGACCCGACCGACCGATCAGCCGATCTATTGTCTCAAATGAGCTAAAATGAGAAAAAATGCAATATTCCGATCAGCCAATCTGTTGTCTCAAATGAAATAATGTGAGCTACACAATGTCTAGCTAAATAATGTGATTCATGGATGCAAACTTATCAAAGTAAAGGAACTACAGAATACAATGCAATGAGCATTGCCTGTATGCACCTCATGCCCACTGCAGCTGAGCCACAAAAACCCTTTGCAAAAAACATCAGCTGACCACGATTCAAATGCTGCAGCCTTCAGAATGCTTATGAATTATGCTTTAACCTTTGTCAAATGACGCTCAATCTCAAGCTTGCATGCCGACAATCAACTAACCAAACGCAAGCAGTGCACACACATATAAACTGTACTGACAATAATGCCATGTTGTTCCAGGCCATGAAACTTCCCCTCCATGCCACGAAGAGTTCTCAGCTTCTCAATGCCAAAAGATGCGGGCTGCTGCATTTTGAACCGTTCTTGCGAGCTCACGCTAATGATTCCTATGTTATAGTAATGCCAGGCACATATGCCGCAACCCTTGCGATGACAAAAACATCATGTGCTCTAGCAGCAGCATGGCATGGTCACATCAGACCAGCATCTGAAGGCAATCCCTCAGAGCAAAGAAAAACTGCATCGCTTCACAAGACCATGTCTTCAGCCGCAGCTGCTGCAGCTGCCACATCATCCCTTGAACCAGCAGCAGCTGCTGCAGCTGCCACATCATCCATTGAACCAGCAGCCGCTTCCATGTTTCCAAGATCCACAAAGTCCGGGTCATCATGCACCACGGGGCATCTGAAGGGGCACCAGCCACGTGGATGCTGTCCGATAGTCCAAGTCTTTTCCAAGCACATCGAATGAAAGACATGTCCACAGGTCAAGGCCAGCAGCTCTCCATTGCTCCAGCTAGCTGTCAACGCCTGGTAACAAATCACACACACCTTGGAATTGTCACTTGCACCGGACAGCGCTGCATTCACAGCCTCCATGGCACCATCTCCATCTGCCACAGCATGATTTGCCATTGCAGCAACATGGCTTTCAGCTGCAGCTGTCGCCACCATTCCATCACCATTGGCCTGGTCTCCATTCTCAACAGCCACAGCCACTGGAGGTGTTGGCACCAGAATCGCATTCAGAGGGGACGCACTCTCAGCAGCCACACCCACTGGAGGTGTTGGCACCGGAATCGCATTCGGAGGGGGCGCACTCTCAGCAGCCACAGCCACTGGAGGTGTTGGCACCGGAATCGCATTCGGAGGGGGCGCACCAGCAGCTGCAGCTGCCACACCTGCAGTGGCCAATGGCGCCAACGGAACTGCAGGAAGAGCCTTCCCAATTGCAACACGAGCAGCTGGCGGTGGAGCCGCCTTTGACATTGCAGGAGGGCCTTGAGGAGGAAGCTTGGGGACAACAGCAAGCATGTCCGGAAGCTGCATCTGATTGGGATCCGGCACATGCGGTGCCTTCGGGTTCGTCTTGGGGCGAGTTTCAGAAATTGTCATCCACTCGTCGTTGAAACCTTCATTGGCTGCCATTGCGTTGACAAAGTCGTCAGAAAGCAAGGGCTCCCGCCTCAACGCAGCAACTGTCTGCTCCATCGCCTCATGTGCCTCTTTGATCTTGTTGTGCTGTATCCGAAATCGAGCATTCATTGCGGCATAGGTCTTGACACGCAAACGTGAGACTGGCGTGCAAGGCTTGACCCTTGTCAGGATCCACACCAGCTTGGCCAAAGCAGCCTGGCTCAGATCCGAAGTTGCCGTTGGGTCCAGCTTGTTGTCTATGGCTTCGCATACTTCTGACAAACGCACCTGGGCAGAGACCCAAAATATTCACGTGGCGTTTCAATCATGTTGCAATTTGTGACCAAAACAGCTACTGATTGCAAATACATTCACTCACTGGTCTGCAATATTATATGTATCCACTCCACTTCAGACTTCCCCCCCTGGCACCTTCGGCAGTGTGCGAATCATTGCTGCACCACGGGTGATGTCCTTCCTGGAGAAGAGCAAAGCCTGAGATTGATCCAGCATATTCATTGCAGCTTGCATAGCCTCCTCAGCAGAAGTGGCTGCGGGTACTCCAGCTGCTTTGCTCTTTGCCACTGGACTCTCTGCAGCAGCATCTGAAGAAGCAGCAGCTATTGAAGGAGCAGCGATTGGAGCAGCACTGCTGGAAGGAGCAACTTCAGGCGCCGGCGCCTCATCAGCTGAGCTGGAGTCATCTGGATTCGGAAACCCGTGTGCATTGCCCATGCCACTCATCATTGCGGCCAGCATCGGGTTGGCCATCATAGGGTTGGTGGCCATCATGGCATTCATCATGTTCATCATTGGGTTCTTCATGACCTTCTGCTTCTTGTTCGCGTGTCGGCCCATGGTCTGAAGCGTCACAGACAAAGCAAGACAAACGGTGGCACTTGACTTGCCTTTGAGACTGAAAGACTTTAAAAAGCAAACGCGATGCGGGTTCAATGGCTCTCACCTTGTATTTACTTGCAACCTACCAACTCAATGATGAAACCAACCAGAGTTCAAGACTTGACGATGTCATGCAGATTCAAAGCATTGACGCAGACACTTCTTGCATGCAAGTACTTGCGATTGCAGACATCACAAGCATCTTGAAACTTGTTGTATACACCACACAACATTTTCAATCAAGACTAAGACTAAGTTCAAGCTAACCTGCTGCACAGCAAATCTTTTCAACGCAGATATGAACAAATGCCACCAACGCTGCTGCGAGGTGGTGTCACTTCCTATGCCTGCAGAGGCTTTGCTGCTAGCGCCAATCAAAGTTCCAGGCTCGGGTTGCAAGCAGCCATTGAATGCTGAAGCTGTTCCTGAGCCAATCAAGATGCCGGGCCATGATGACCTCAGCAATAATATGAAGGACTCCGTACTGCTATGCCAAGGATTGCATCAGTTCCACATACCCGGCTGGGGCCGGTGTGTCAACTCGGCGGTACAAACGCCGTGTCATGCCTTCCACTATGATCAAAATTCAATGAAGTCGGCCTCATCTTGGCAACAGAAAGATGCTCAGGCCCCTAGAAACTAGATTATTTCTTTGCAGAACACTTGAATTTGAAACGCAATGGATTTAAGATTTGCAAGAGGCAAGCAAAACCTGGAGCCAAACAGCCGCAACAGTGCCAAGCACATGTGAATGCCCAAAACTCCCGACAGTGCCACGCACAAGTCAATGCACATGCACATTTCACAATATGAACTCAGCGCAACACACAAGCTGCACAAGTTACAACACAATTCAGAAACTGACGCAAGACGGTGTGGTGGGTTTTCCAGAGACTCTTAGACTCTTCAAGTATTTCCATCAGACTTGCCAAGCCCCAGACGACTTGAGACAAATCTCACTGATGTAGACAGCTGCACCTGTTTCAGGCGCACATTTTCATGTAGGCATCAGCAAACAGTGATTGTCATATGCCACAAGAAATGAGCTCAATAGGCGGCAGGCTGCACACAACAATGGAACATCCTCGCAAGAACTGAGATATAGAAAAAAAGTTCCCAGCGGCCCTTGCAGTCAAGTCAGCTTTGCCAAGCTTCAGACAATTGCAGACAAAGCTCGGAGGCTCGTGTAGGCAGCACCTGCTTCAGGGTGCGCATTCTTATGTCAAGCGACTTCTTTTTCAATTCAATGCGATCCAATCAATTCACAAAACAGCAACAAGTAAACCCACGATGCACCACAAGATAAGACAAGAAGTCTGAGACTTGCTGCACCGCGTCGGGTGTCAAGCTACAAGCCAAGCAGGTGAGGCATGACAAAGATTCAAACCACAGAATCCCTAGCAAGTCAAGTCCAAGCATTTCACTACCTGAGGCTTGCGCAAGATCCAAGCCACAACCCAAGCAAGTTGTAGACAGTCCTGGCTAGCAAGCTTACTGGCACAGGCATCGGCATCTATACAAAGGCCATAAAAGACATTGCAGCACTGTCGAGCAGATGTCCAGGCTCAAGGCAACAGGTCAACAAACAGATTTGCAGATCAATGCATCTGGTTTTGAGGCCATAACAAGGTAAGTACTAAACGTTGTTGGTAACAACATTTTTCAAATGGCATCTGTCTTGAAGGGTTGCGCGTTGCCTGCAAAAAATGAATTGGAGCAACCCCAACGGGAAAGCTATTCCGTTGGGGTTTGCGCTGGGCCATTTTTGGCAGCCGAAAAAATTCTCCAGAGACTTCCATGGGGCCGCAAACCATTGAACTTTGGTTTCCTGCTGGGCAGAACCCAAAAATGTGTGGGACCCAACACAAACAGCTGCAACCTTTTGAAGCCGCCGTTTTGGTGACCCAACCCAAATGGAAACTTGCCAGATTACAACAACTCATCATCTTAGCAACGATTGTCATTGAGAAGCTGAAAAAGTAACCACTTAAGTAAGTGCGGTAAGTTTGCCTGCTATCAAAAGTCAGATTTTCCAAGCCCCAGGCAATCGCAGACAAAGCTAGCGAGACAGCACCTGGATTCAATGCAAGCGACTTTTTTCTCATTCTCACGCAGTTCAACCAAATCGCACATCCCACGAAGCACCAAATTCAAGAACACTGACTGAGACTTGCACCGCGTCCGGATTCAAGCTACAAGCCAAGCAGGTGAGGCATGACAAAGATTCAAACCACAGAATCCCTAGCAAGTCAAATCCAAGCATTTCACTAGCTGAGACTTGCGCAAGATCCAAGCCACAAGCAAGTCGTAGACAGTCCTGGCCAACACAAGCTCCAACACAAGCAAGGTGCAAGATTTGTGCGGTCTGGTTCTGGAATCATGTCGGTGTTTATTTTAAGCCCAAGTTAGCAAAATAAAAGCAAAAATAGATAGCAAATGAAGGTAAGACCCACAGGTAAGTACCAACATAAACCCAACGTACGCAACGCATGGCCCCGACATGACCCAAAAACGGCAGCGTTTCTCAACCCAGACCTAATTTTCTTTAGGTCTGGGTTGAAAATTGCTCAACATATCCCCACATGATCGCCGTTCTTGGCCCAACCTGGGCTCAACATAGGGTCAACATGGCCCCAACATAGCCCCCAAGCGCCCAACATAGGGCCAACATAGGTCCCACATAGGCCCAACATGGCCCTGACATGAACCAAAAACGGCGGCGTTTCTCAACCCAGACCTAATTTTCTTTAGGTCTGGGTTGAAAATTGCTCAACATATCCCCACATGATCGCCGTTCTTGGCCCAACCTGGGCTCAACATAGGCTCAACATGGCCCCAACATAGCCCCCAAGGGCCCAACATGGCCCAACATGGTCCAACATAGGCCCAACATAGGCCCAACATAGGTCCCACATAGGCCCAACATGGCCCCGACATGACACAAAAACGGTGTGTTCATTTAAGCCCGGATACCAGGCCTTAAAAGAACACGCCGCTCTTGGCCGAACATAGGCTCAACATGGCTCCAACATGGCCCCAAGATAGGAGAGATTCACTATTTATATTCGCATGTTTGTGCTCGCTATGTCAGTAAATCATTGGTGCTTTTCCCTGCCCCAGAACCAGCCCGGCAGGGGACTGACAATCCAAGATTGTTGTTCTTTGCAAACCACTGCACACTTTTGAATTAATGTCACAGTTGGAATATGTCACCCTCATGCACGCTTTGCGCTTCTCTGAGCTTGTAGCTTCGAAGACCAATCAGCATGGGCAAAATCACCTGGCACACGCAGCTACAATATACACTTGCAAAGGGCGATGGCCATGCAAAGACATGAGCCCACACTAACTTGACTGTTGCAAAGGCAAGTTCCAAACTATTTTCCTTCTCACGCTGAAAATGTCGAAGGCCAACGTTGCCAAACATCTTAACTTAAACATTTCGGAAGCAGCGCAGCTAACTTGCTCAACCGACCTTTCTTGTTGGTATCTACTGACTGCCCACACCTGCAGTGCCTCTGGATTAAAGACGGATTCCATGTGGGTTCAACTTTCCAAACAAACATGCTCGTGACCACTTTGCAAAAAGCTTGTGAGTGTGACAACATGCAACAGCTGGTGACTGTGACAACTTGCAACAGCTTGCGACTGTGTCAACTTGCAACAGCTTGTGACAGATTGTCTGTCTCTCAATCCCTCCATTTGTTTATCCTGCACCCACAGGCAGCACAAGATGACACGCATTCAGAGCAATAGTGGGCTGACGAAGCCCATGATGTGCCACGGCCGGCCCGCACCTCAGAAACAAGCAACTAGCAAAGGGACCAACTTTCACAACGAAGAATCAACACCAAAAGAAAAGTAAAGAATACCATGTTGCATGAATTCCTTTGAAAGGGCTCCTCAGGATGAACATAGGAGAATGTTTGCTGTGTGCGCGCCACGCCCATTCTTGAGAACCTCTTTCAGGGGAAACTACAGTAAACAATTTCAGGGCACAGCACCATTGTGCTTTGAAATTTGCTGTTTGTTTGTTGTGGCAGGCATGAGTGTCTCTTGCGCTGGGACCACAAAAGTGAGATGCACCTTCTTTTCTGGATCTGAAGCAACAATTTGACACACCAGACCAGGAACCCTTGTCCTGGCACAAAACCAAACAATTCAACACACTAGAAAATTGTGCTCCAAGCGCGGCCTTAGAATCTGAGTACGAGGTCGAGGTCCTCTGCCTTTTCCACGGCCGTTGTGGCACAGGCGGCGGTGAAGGTGGTGGAGGCGGAGGCGGGGGTAAAATCCGAGACCGTGGATCTTCCTCCTCTTCCTCCACCTCAGCTTCCTCGCTTGGATCATCAGATCTGTCAGAGTCAAACCCCATCTCGACCCTAAGTTCTTGAATCCACCGGTGGATCTCATCATCAGCATCTGGATGCGGCGACTTCTTGTCAGAATCCAACCTGGTTCATGATGAGACCAATGAGCAACAAGCAAACATGGGCCAGCTGGCACTTGGGTTAGCCCTAAACCTGGATTGCCCTTTGGTTCTTGATGATATTTTGTCCAGGTCCAGCACAATAGAAACAATCAAACCTAAGCACACGCGAGGCACCCAGTGTAGGAGAGCAACCGAAAGGAGCAGTCGAGCAACAAAGCTGTCAGCAGCACGGCTGAAGCACTTCTGTGAAGGCCCTTGCTACCTTGGCGGTCCACTGATTGCATCACGCGACTGCGACACAACAGCTACAAGGCAAGTGGCATCCCAACAATTAAAAAAAAAAAGCCGCATGCACAAACACACAAACGCACTACTTAAAACAGAAGAACTCGGGCAGATCCAAGAAACACACCACACTGATGACAAGTTGGTGATTGCCATGCAATCTGACATGAGTTTTGATCATCTCCACAAGTTGATAGACCGCCTTCGAACCAGCTTGGGAGGCCCAAGCAATGCGCTTCAG